ACTCCTATTCATCCTTCAAAAGCTTCCTCAAGTATCACTTCTTTAAAGTTTTCTTCACTATTCCAAGGCAGTTAGTCAGTTCTTTCCCTGGGCACATTTAACATCTCAATCATAATATTTATCACACCATTTTATAATTTACCTGCTTATCTGCTGCCTGGGACACCCATTGTTAGTTGCCTACCAAAAACCTTTCTCCACCTCTTCTTACTGATAGAATCATGGTGTTTTTCAGGTATGCAGCTTCAAGGAAGACTGGATTTCCTCCTCTGCCCCTGGGGGTGAATTTTGATTACCTTATTCTAATAATGTCAATTTTAGCCTGCCTTCCAGTAATTGGTTTTAGCTTGCGTGTGTGATGCAATGGCTGCCCATGAGGTCAGCTGTGGAGGAGTTTCTCAAGTTGGCTTGTGCATATGCATCACCTGGGATTTTGCAGATTCTGATGCTGGAGGTCTGGGGTGGGTCCTGACAGTCCCCAGGGGAGATAGAGCCACAAGCTGCCAGTCTGAGGACCACCTTTTGAGTAGTAAGCTAGAGAACTTCTAGGTTAAGTTTCTTTACCTTTTTAAAAAATTAATGTTTGTTTGTTTATTTATTGATTTATTTAGAGAGCAGGGCAGGTGCAGAGAGAGAGGGGGACGGGGGATCCGAAGCAGCCCAGAAAGCTGAGGGCGCAGAGCCCAGAAAGCCTGATGTGGGGCTTGAACTCATGAACTGTGAGATCATGCTCTGAGCCAAAGAGTGATGCTTAACTCACTGAGCCACGCAGATGCCCCAAGTTTCTTCACTTTTAAAAACAGACACGAGAGGAGAACAGGTCCTTTGAGGTCTCCTAAATCAGCCCTGTCATATGTGTTGCCTGGAGCTGCTGTAGCATCCTGTGAACACCAAGGAACCAGCCAAGATGCTGGGGGCGGCAGAATGGAAAGATGGAGAAAAGCCTAGGCCTAGGGCTCATGAGGTTAAAATGTTGAATCAGTCAACCTGGAGCAGCCCATCCTCTACGCATTTTATTGTTTGTGCTCTGGGAGGCATCATTTTATAAAATCATATATTTTATAATTCAATTGTATATGCGTATGTAGGTACAGGGTCAGGATGTAAAATGTCTTTCTAACTCTGGGGTGTGGTCTTGAATGTTTGAAAACGCCAGCCTGGTCAAAGGGCCGGTTGTCCCTCCAGGGCTCTGTGCACGTGCACTGTACTCCCCCAAGAGGCAAAGCTGGTTCCCTGAGCCCTGCCTGCTGGCTGGGGTTCTGTTACACCCCCTCCCATTCTCTCTCTTTCCATCCCCAAGCGCCATGTTCAACAGCCTAGCTTACAAGCCGGTTCCTGACTCTGAGGAAACAGCACTCTGTGCTCTCTTCATTAAACTGCTTCCTGTCCTTGGTGCTGAGGCTTGTCTGAGCCACGTGAGTGGACTGGCCTCTTGCTGGATGACTTCCCGCCAGACCACACGGATCCCAGCCAGGGGCTGTTTGAGCCCTGAGTCTAGCTGTCTATGCTCTGCCCAGGAGGGAAATGGACCAGAGTCAGCATTTGTGGCCCAGGGGGCCTTAACCAGTTAGTAGCCTGGAGTTTTGAAGGAGATCTTACTTATCTGCCTCTGGGAGTGCTGATGAAGGTACACATGTAATGATAGGACTTTGGTCCTAAGTCTGAGACATCACTTGAAAACCATTGGGAGGAACGCCAGCCCTATAAAGCTGCTGTTAGGATGGGGACAGAAACCCAGCTCCCCATCTCTCTCCTCCTTCCATATACCAAGCCTGGCTTGCCATCCCTGTCCCCAGGGCTCTGGCAACCCGGGCAGGTGTCTGAGGTGCTGACGGGAGAGACATCAGTAACTTGTTCCTCCTGTGCAGTCTTTTCGACATTCAACCTGTGTGCCAGACAAAGCCAGACCTCTGCGATTTCCCACCTCTGAGCATTTTCCCACGATGTTTCCCCCACCCAGCTTCTGCATCAGGAAACCCTATCGGTATGCTAAGGTGGAACCCACATGTTACCCTCACTATGAAAACTGCCCCACTATCCATTGCCAGAATTAACTGTCCTTTCCTCCGGACCCCTCAAGGTTTTGTTTGCGCCTTTATGTGACCACATATCACATGCTGCCTCATTGCAGTTATCTGGGTTTCTGTCTGGCCTCCTCCGAAGGCCTCCTCCTTCTGAGTTCCTCGCAACAGTGTTTTAATCAGCTTTACTTCACGAACTCCTGAACATGCAGCAGGTGCTACACACATTATAGGACTGATATGCTATTATTTTCAGGGTTCAAAATGATCAGTGACGTATACGATCAGTTGATTTTTAACAGGGATGCCCACACCATGCAGTGAGGGGAAAGGATAGTCTTGTCAACAAATGCTGTTGGGAAAGATGCATGTCCATATGCATAAGAATGAAGTTGGACTTTACCTCATGCCATATTCAAAATTTAACTCAAAATGGGTTGAAGACCTAAATATAAGAGCTAAAACTATAAAATTCTTCGAAGACAACATTGGGAAGAAGCTTCAGGACATTGGATGTGGTGATAATTTCTTGGAATGATACCAAAGCCAAAGCCAAAATATAATAGATAAATCAGATTTTATCAAAATTAGAAATGGACAATTAAAAATTACAAAAGTAAAAGGACAGTATAAAGAAAGTGAAAAGACAATCCATAAAAATGATAGAAAACACTTGAAAGCCGTATATCTGATAAGGGATTAGTAACTAGAATACATAAGAAACTCCTGGAGCTCAACAACAAAAATGCACACAATATGATACAAAAAGGGGCAAAGAACTTGAGTAGGCATGTCTGAAGAAGATGTGCAAATAGCCAACAGTACGAAAAGATGCTCCACATCTCTAATCATCATGGAAATGCAAAATGAAACCACAATGAGATACTACTTCACACCATTAAGATGTCTACTATCAAAAAACCAGAAAATAACAAATGTTGACAAGGATGTGGAGACATTGGAACCTTTGTGCACTGCTGGTCAGATTTAACATGGTGCCTCTGCTTAAAAAATCAGTATGGGCATTACTCAAAATTAAAGTGGAATTATCATATTATCCAGCAATTTCACTTATGGATACACATTCAAAAGAATTGAAAGCAGTGACTCGAACAGATATTGGTACACAAAATGCTTGTAGCAGCATCATTCACATAGGCAAAGGATGGAAACCACCTAAATGGCCATCAACAGAGGTATGGATAAACACAATGTGGCATATACGTGCAACGGACTATTTTTCAGCCTTAAAAAGGAAGGGAAATCTGGTATGTGCCTCCGTCCAAATGAACCTTGAAAACTTATGCTAAGTGGAATAAACCAGACACTGAAGGATCAACACTGTATGATCCCACTCTAGGAGGCACTTAGACTAGTCAAATTCGTAGAGATAGAAAGTAGAATAGATGTTACCAGGGACTGGAGGAGAGGGAAACAGGGGGTTACTGTTTAATAGGTACAGTGTTTCAGTTTGGGATGATGGAAAATTTCCTGATGTGGAAGGTAGTGATGGTTGCACAACAATGTGAATATATGTCATGCCATTGAACTGGACACCTAAAGATGGTTAAAATGGCAAATTTACATGACAGTCACTTTACCACATTAAAGCAAAATAAGCAAATGATCCGTCAGTTGGTAGTCTAGGTTAGTAGGGATAAGATGGTTTCTATCTTACTGAATGGAGAGAAATGGGGTATTTTTCCAGAGCTCAGGATCAGGGATCTGTGATATGCCTGAAACAGCCCACTTCTCTGTCTGCCCTCAGAGTCTCTGGCGTCTATAGAGATTTGGAAGTTCCCAAATTTCCTGGTTGTGCTCTAAGCCTATGGGTTTGAGAGCGTTTGGGACTCCCGGAATTCCCAAGAATCACAGTCGGGGGAGGGGGCGGAGACGGAGTTCTGTACAGTGTGGTTTTGGTTCTGAAATCCTGCCGTGGAAGGAGGCTAAGACTACTCCACATCCTGTGTTAGCTGGAACACACGGGGTAACTGAGTATTGGTCCAGGCGTCTCCTCGGGACAAGAGCTTCGTGTGGGGTGCTGGGAAGATTCACCTGCTGCTATGATGCCCTGCATGGAATGCTGACATTTCCAGCGCTCCAGGAGAGCCACCAGAATTCGTGACTGCTAAGTTGGCAACACTTTTGGAGTGAAGACCTGGTTTTGAATCCCAGGACTTGAGCCAGGTGAAGGAGTCAAAGTCGTAAGAAAACACCTATCTTTGCCTTTGAAAGAGAAAATGTTCCCAGTTCAGCCAAAATGAAATAAAATTGTTCTTGTTGCTGTTGTTTTGAATCCATGGCTTTTGGTACAACAGTAGTTTTGCATCGTCTTCGTGCAGTTCTATTGCTCTTAACTGGGAGCCCCCTCCTCCCTTCCCTGAGCACGGTGCAACCTCCTATCTCACGCAGGTTCCTTTTATTTTCAGAAGGTCCTTCCATTGTGGCCTGATGCCATAGTTGTCACATTCATGGGCCTTGTTAAAACCAGATTTCACCCTTGATCTTGATGGATCCAGGGTCTGGGGTGGGGATGTATACTTTAAAAACAATTTTACTGACATATAATTCACGAGGGTACTGTACTTTAAGCAGCACCTCTGGTGATTCTGATGAGTGGCAAGGTTTGGGGACCACTGACCTGAGAGGGAAATCAGCCAGACCTGGCACTGCTCCAGGAGATACAGAGGGAACAAGTCTACCAAAAAAATAAAAATAATAATAATAATTCCCATTCTCATGAAACTTGCATTCTAGTCAGGTAATGATAGTCTAGTTCAGTAGGTAAATGAGATCAGTACGTAATGATAATCGATTTCAGTAGGTAGATTTCAGATGCTGAGAAGTACTACGGATAAAACAGGGTCACGTGAAATAGAGGGGCTCTGGAGGATACTTTAGCTGGAATCTGGGAAGATGCTCTGAGCAAGGAGAAACCTGAATGATGAAAAGAAGCAGCCATGTGAGGAGAGAGGGACGATGGTTCCAGCCAGAGGTAATATCTGGTGCTAAGGCCCTAGGGAAGGATGAACTTGGCAGGTGCAGGGGCGGAAAGCAGTCCAGGTGGCTGGAACATGGCAGGTGGGAGGAAGAGCGGGAGAAGGTGAAAGTTCAGGAGCAGGCATGCAGGCCCTGTGGGTCTGAGAGTTTGAGTTTTATGACAATCGTAATGGGAAACCCCTAGAATATCTTCAGCAGAGGAGCGACGTGATGGTGTTTATGAAGATCATATGGTTGCGTGTGAAGAATAGACTTGTGAAGAGGAAGCACTGTTGCAGAAATCTAGGTGAGAGATAATGGGGGTTGGGTTAGGGTTGTGCCAATGGAGATGGGGAGAAGTGGTTGGATTCGGGACTGGTTTTATAGGCACAACCTATTAATGGATTAGATATTGAGTATAAGAAAAAGAGAGGATTCAAAGATAACTCCTAGGGTTTTGGACTGATCAAATCAACAGAAGACTCAGGGGGTGAGATGGCAGATTTGGCTGTGTTGGTTTTGAGGATGCCTATCGGACATCCAAGTCAAGAAGTGAATAGGCAGTTGGCTATGCAAGTGTGCATCTGATGGAAGAGTTCTGGGCTGGAAACGCACATTTGAGAGTAAACAGTGTGGACGGTCTGCCAGGCTGTAGGACCAGATAACGTGGTGGAGAGTATAGACCCGGAAGAAGACCACGGACCCAGGATGACTCCAACATTCGAGGTTTGGTGTAGGAGGCTGAGAGCAGGATATGGACAAGGGTGAGCACGAGGTAGAAGAGAACCAGGGGGATGCGTTACGGGAGCCAGACAAGGCAGTGTTCAAGGAGGGAGCGGCCAGCCTTGCTGCTGCTGAGACAATGAGTAAAAATGCAGAGAGAACTGACCAATGCTCTGGTCAACATGCAGGTGTTAAGTGGCCCCACTAAGCATTGTGTTAATGATATGACAAAAGCATAACGTTGGCAGGATGAAAATAAAGTCCCTTGTCCTAGTTCTATAAGAATAGTTGCTTCTGCATTTTGGGGAAGCCTAAGCCATCAAAGATAGAGCTTGGGATCGGGAGGGGGGGGCATAGTGGGGGCAGTCAGGAAGACTTGCCAAAGAGAGACGATTCCCTCAGGACAGGAGGGGACAGAGACCAGAGGGTGGAGGACTGGCTGCCCCTCAGAGACAAGGGCTGGTGGAGGCTCCACACCTCCAGGACTTGGCAGAGATTTTGTGCTTCACCTGTGGGATGGAAGGCAAGAACTTCAAGAGACCACACAAACTTGGGTCTGAGAGTACCACAGCACCTATCATAGACTGGAGGTAAAGGGCCTTCACTCCATTTTCCAGGAAGTTCTTAAGCCTCCTGGATTCTAGAGCAGGAATTCGGAGAGTGGATTTCTTCTAATCCATTGGGATAGACCTTAATTCAGAATTAAGATGACCTAGATAGAGTGATATTTCCTTTGCACCTGAGATTGTGGACTGAAATTCATTTCCACTAAGCTTTACAGTTTTCTTCAATCTCTTTCTCTCCTCAATGAAAAGCAGTATAATTAACTTACACATATCAGAGCATAGGGGTTTATAGAGCATTGTGATAAAAAAATGCAAAACACTTTGAAAAGGTATAAACACCAAATAAATGGAAAGGAAGAGAGAGCAATGCCCTGCTCAGAAAGAAAACCACTATCTCATTAAATCAGAAAGCTCCAATAAACCTGAGACCAGGAAAAACTAGAGTGAGTAACTCTTTAATAGTGTATGATCAACAATATTAGCTTGAAAATGTTAATATCTTTTATCATCAGAAGTCTCTGGAGAGCAGGAGCTAGTATGGAGCCCAGCTAAATAAGTCATCATCTTTGTGTTATGATGTTTTGTTCAACAAAAAGAAGGGAGGGAAGAAAGGAAGGCAAAAGGTTGTTTTCTTTACCTCCTTTGTGAAATTCTTTTTTTCTTTGCAATTTTTTTCCCCCTGTGCTAAGGGTTGTCCTTTCACTTTTTTTCTTTTCTCTTTTCTTTTTGTCTTTTGTTAATTTCCTTTGTGAAATTCTATCCTGCATCCTAATAATGTAAACACTCCTGGGGAGAGTAGGGAAGAGCAGTTTATCATTTATATTTATACTTGGCTCTGTCTAAGGACTTGAGCAGATTTGCCAGAAAGTGTAAACTCGGTGAGCAGTTAGAGGAAGCTCCCTGCTTGGGAAAAAGTACCTCCTCTTGCCCCCAAACAATCTGAGAATAAACTTGGGCTACTTTGCAATCTGGCTCAGGGCATTTCAATCAGTTCCAGACCAATCTGCTGTCGATACCCACGGTAATTTGATAATTTCTACAAGAAACGGTTCAGATTCTCATCCTACACTCCAGAGTTCAGGCTGCAATCCCCACACAGTTCAATTTTTAGACGGTCTTTTTTTTTTTTTTTTTTTTTTTTTTTGCCTGGAGGCATTCTTTAGGTTGGTGGCCATGCTCACTTGAGCAAGGGCGATCCCGCACGTCGCAGTTGCAGTGTCCAAGCAGGAAAAAAGTCCAGAGCAAGCATTAATCAGGTGTGAATATCGCGGATGAGAAAATTGTCAGGGCTGGCGTGCAGCGGCAGAGCGGCATCTGTCTAGTGTTTGCTGGATCACCAAGCCCAGGAGGATGGGTTGCCTAGCAGCTCCCAGTCACTTCTGGCCAGCGCTAGGCAACAAGATGCAATCTGTCAGCTGCAGGCCGTCCGTGTGTTCTCCCGGTGTTTAGAAAACATGTAGGTATTTCAGAAGCATCTAATTATCTTTGGTCTCATTCACTTCACCCTGTGCTTCAGGTTTCCCATCTCAGTGTCCCCTCCCCCCCCCCCCGCCCCCACCAGAGGTCCAGATGCTCTTCTCACATAGGAGAGGACCTAGACCTTGCAGGAAATTGTTCACGCATTGCAGAGAACAGGAAAATGAGAATTTGTCTCTCTGGGTATATGAAGCCAGCTCTCTGTGGTCATTTTATTTTTTTTCTTTTCTTAATGTTTTTTTTATTTATTTATTTATTTTTGAGAGAGAGAGAGAGACAGAGAATAAGTGAGGGAGGGGCAGAGAGAAAGGGAGACACAGAAGCCAAAGCACGCTTCAGGCCCTGAGCTGTCAGCACAGAGCCCAACACAGGGCTCGAACTCATGAACTGCTAGATCATGATCTGAGCCGAAGCTGGAAGCTCAATCAGCTGAGCCACCAGGCACCCCTCTGTGGTCATTTTCTTTTCTTTTTAAAAAAAAATTTTTTTTAATGTTTATTTATTTTTGAGACAGAGAGAGACAGAGCATGAATGGGGGAGGGCCAGAGAGAGAGGGAGACACAGAATCTGAAGCAGGCTCCAGGCTCTGAGCTGCCAGCACAGAGCCCGACGCGGGGCTCGAACTCACAGACCGTGAGATCATGACCTGAGCCGAAGTTGGACGCTTAACCGACTGAGCCACCCAGGCACCCCTCTGTGGTCATTTTCAAGGCTCCTCACCCACATACAAATTGTTAGATGTGCAAAGAAAAATTCACTGATGGATGCTAGGGAAACCAGGAGCCTTTTTTTATTGTGTGAGCAGCCATTCTACCACCTTCTTGCTCCCTCAAGAAAAAGAGAGACAAGGATGTGGTGGGGCAGGTCTCTGATTTTCGTGGCCAACTGAGCAATAGTCTTTCTTGTGTGCTTTCTCTGTGTTAATCCTTTTTTGACTTTTTATTTCTCATGATAACCCCATTGTTTCTTTTTTTTAAGATTATTTATTTTAAGAGAAAGAGAGAGAGACAGAAATAAAGCATGAGTGGGGAGAGGGGCAGAGAGAGAGGGAGATAGATAATCCCAAGCAGGTTCCGCACTATCAGTGCCTCTAAAGTGCTTCTTCAGAAACTGGGTTGAAAAAAAAAATGATATATGATATATCTATATCTATATCTATATCTATATCTATATCTATCTATCTATCTACCTATCTATCTCAATCCTTCCTAGCATCACAGTGCCCAACTCCCTAAGTAGGAACGTGGAAACAAACAGAGGAGATCAGGTGACTCTGAGAATGGAAAGAGGTGGGGAGGAAGAATCAAGAGGCTTGGTTTAAGGTCAAAGTGAGTAAGGTGAGAATTTACACAAATACAAGCTATCTCTTCATTTGTAAAACAGCTCCTTTAAAAGTTCACTGCTTTTGAATAGGAGTTTTATGACATTTGGTTCTTCTAAGGTCTGGGCACCATCCCCTATACACATGTACACACACACACACACACACACACACACACACTCTGTGGCTTCATTAAGTTATTGACTCTCAGACCACCTATGAAGGGTATTATATAAGGCAATGACTCAAACTTTAATATGCATGTAAATCATCTTGTCAAAATTCAGATTCTTGGATGGAGCTGGCAGATTGAGGCTGGGGCCCAAGTGTTACCACTTTGGGTAGCAAGGCTGTTGCAGCTTCTTGACTGGAGAAGGAATTGGGCCTGAAGACCTCACAGGTCTTTCCTGGCTCTTACTTGGGACCAAAATGTGGCTTAAACGCAAACCATCAAAGGCACAAAAATTAGCAGACTCACTAAATTGTACCCCCTTTGGTTGTCTGGAAAACTCCTTGTCAATGTAACTTAATTTTTTCCCCGGCGGCTATACGATTCGAAGAGACGCCTGATACACGGTGTGGAATCTCTGTGAATCTTTGCCACAACCGTTTGAGGTAGCTGTTGTTATTTTTATATCCAAGGCGAGGAAATTGGCGGTAAGCGCTGAAGTCAGGGCTGGAACTCAGATCATTTGCCTTCATGTCGTGGATTGTGCCTGTAAACACCACAGAAAAACACTTCGCAGACCCTAGAGAAAGGGATGGGTAGCAGGTGCTTATAAACTCAGCCTTGATAAGTTTGCTGCGGTTGGGACAGATTGTTTGGACTGGGGGCGGGAGCTGCAGGGAAAGTATAGATCAGTCAACTCTAATGGGAAAGCCAAGGAGGTGAGATTGCGTTCAGTGTGACCCTCTCCTCCTGGTGCTTCCCTTTTCTTGCCTCACTTCCTCTCCCTACACAGCCGTGCACACCGGCATGCTGCCCTCAGCCTGGCCGTGGCGGCCCGGCCTGGTGAGCCCAGCGCGATCGGGCTGGAATTCATTCAAAATGAGATGTATTTATTTACCTCCTTGTTACCCAGAGGTAATTCGAAGACATTAATAACAATAGGCACTTACCAGAGGAGCTGGGGAGATATTTGAAAGGAGATTGTTTAGCTTCAAGGACAGAATTTCTAAAAGCGGACTATGGGAGATTTTCATCTGTGTGCGTGGGAGGGGGTTAGGGATGGGGGAGAGTGCCAGGCGGGAACAGGGCTGCCTGCAGGTGCTCAAACCCACCCCGGGCAGTGCCAGCCCAGGTAGGGGAAGGGCAGGGCCCCCCCTCAGCAGCACCATGCACCATGGCTCCCGAAAAGTGCTTGACACCATTTAGAAAAACAAAGTCATACTAGGTGAGTTTATTCAAATGGGCTTGGAAAATGTCCGTGACGTGGGAACGCAGGCCGTGGAGAAGTAAACAATGATTGATAGCAATGTCTGCTGGGCTGCTCAAGGGGTCTTTATTACATTTTATCTAACAGCCTCATTAATGGCCTAGAAGAGGTAGATGCTAACCGAATTTTAATTAAATTCATGGTGAATATTAAATTGGGAGTGATTGTGAATCTCAGGGAAGGCAGGAAGGCAACCTAGGAGTACGTGAGAAGATAAAAGAAAATTCAGTCTTAGCGGGTGAAGAGAAATGCCTTCGAAATGATTTGTGTGGAAGTAATAAGGCTTTCAGAGATTGGCTTATTGTGCACCAGACACTGACCCGGGTGCTTTGGAAGTGTGGCTCATTTGTTCTTTCCAGTAACATGACAGGGTAGGTGCAGGTGAAGAGGGGCAGGAAGGAGTGAAGTGGTTTGCAAAAGGCACACACGTGGCAGATGGTCTAGAAATTAAAAAAAAAAATCACCTTGGGTCTTTCTATTTTATATTTCTTTTCCTCTAGAGTAAAGCCATGCTTTAAAAATGTTTCTGGTTCTACGGTTTTAGTGGAAATGCGTATTTTGTGTATTAGCCTCAGAATAACCTATTTAAAGAAATGCTTTTTCAAAAAGAGATGATCCTAGTATCCATTTCATGACCGCCATGAATGTGGCCTCCCTTCAGCCTGCTCTAAAAGGGGCAGGGGCGCCTGGGTGGCTCAGTCAGTTAAGCGTCTGACTCTCGATTTCGGCTCGGGTCATGATCTCACAGTTGGTGAATTCAAGCCCCCCATCAGGCTCTGCCCTGACAGTGTGGAGCCTGCTTCGGATTCCCTTTTTCTCCCTCTCCTTCTCTCTCTGCCCCTCCCCTCCTCGCTCTCACTCAAAATAAATAAATGAACTTAAAAAATAAAAAAATAAAATGAAAGGGCAGCCACCAAGGACTCCACCTACAGAAAGCACTCGGTGTGAGCAGGGGGTCTAATCTGCTTGGGTCACTGCTACGGTGACCCAGCTCTGAGAAGCGTGCCTGGCATGCAGGAGACATTCAAGAAATAATTAACAAATGCATTTCTATTAGTCCACATTGATTTCCCATCAGCTTCAATTTGGAATTCAGAAAGCGTTAGGTAGTGGTTTTAATGGCAGGGAGGAGGGCTGTGGATGCCAGGTAAGGACGCACCTCCGCTCCACGCACTTACAGGTTTGAGCTGTGGAACACTTGCTGTTTGTGATGTGTAACATGGGCAAGAAACTCACCAGTTTCCTTGCTCATATGGGAGATGGTGGCCATGACCCCTCTCCTGCCTTCACAGGGTCTGGGGAATCAAATGAGAGGTGGACTGAAAAGGCATCTGGCAGCCAGGAGGCACAGCATAAATGCTAGTTATCATGCAGTTAGAACTTTACACTGTGTTTATCGAATTTAAGATCATCCCTAGGCTACCATTTGGAAAACAAGCTAGTTTAACCACTCAAATGAATTCACTGTAGTACTGAGATAGTCCAAGGTAGTGTGGCTCATCACTTAGGAACAGATGGTAACAGACTATGCTTTCCTTCCAGGTGAACATCAGAGCCTTTGGGCATGGGGCCCGGGAATGTCGTTATTGAAAAGGGTACATGTGGTTGTGATGTTCTACTAGGTTTGAGAAATTCAGGGAAAAGTTGCTTCCTGAGGGGATAGCAGAAAAGGGTAGGGCTGGGGGAACAAATGGCCAGAAGGCAAGGAAGTGGCCAAGGAGGCCGAACCATGGGGGTTACTGGGGACCTTGATTTTTGGCAGGGAAGAGCTCAGAGGAAATGATGTCAAAGTCAAGGCCAGGGACTGTGCCTTGCAGGGTGAATACAGGGCCTCCCGTTGCCTAGCTGAGGGCCATTTGGGGTAACTGGTGTCTGTATCAGGAGAGGACACAGAATCAGTACTTCCTAGTTCCGATAATTGAAGATTATCTTGCAAATGGAGGTGAGTTATTTATAGGATCAGCTTTCATACTGCTGACTGTGTTCCTATGCCTGGAGAGGTTAATTAGTTCCCCTTTTCATTGTACCCTCTGACCCAGCCATTTCCCCAAGACCAGCGGTGAGTATAAATTGTGGTCACTCATTGAGTCAACAGTCATTGGTTGAGCACTTGCCAGGCTCTCTGTGTAGCCCTGGGAATACAAGAGGGAGCAAAACAGACATGTCCTTGCCCTCTTAGAGCTCACGATCAAGTGGGAGAGATGGATGTGAACGAAGTAATCAAATAAATGCATACACCATTTAAAAATGTCTGTATGTGCTATGAAGAAATGTCTAGGGTCCATGAGAGCTTATGGCCGGGTGTGGTGTAGTGACAGTGTCTGTGACGGTATTCCTAAAGAAGTGACGCTTGAGCTGGTATTAAAGGGCTATTGGAAACTACTAGGTGAAGGGAGTCAGGGCAAGAGTGTTCTGGGTGGAGGAAGAACTTTTTCAAAAGTGCTCAGCTGTGAGGGATATGTCACAGGAAGACCAGTGTGGCTGGAGGGGAGAGGCGGAGGGTGACTACAGTGGAGGCCTGGAAGGGCCCTGCGTGCCTCACAGGCTGACTGCAGGGTTTGGGCTGTAGTCTTAAAAGAAATGGGAAACCTTGGAGGTTTGTAAGGAAGAGTGGCAGTAGGGGTGGGGTGTGTGAGAGAGAAGGAGAGGTTGAGGGCTGTGAGAGAGAGAGAGAGAGAGAGGCTATGCTAGGGCTGCCATCATAAAGTACCACAGACTGAGGGGCTTAAACAACAGAAATTAATTTTCCCACAGTTCTGGAGGCTACAGGAGATGGAGGTGTCAGTAGGGTTGGTTTCTCCTGAGGCCTCTCTCCTTTACTTGTAGATGGCTGTTTTCTTATGTCTTCATGTGACCTTTCCACGGTGTTATGTCTGTGTCCTCATGTCTTCTTACAGAGACACCAGCCATACTGGATCAGGGCCCACCTAATGACTTTGTTTTAAATGGATTACCTCGTTAAAGACACTGTCTCTAAATACCTTCACATTCTGAGGTCCTGGGGGTGAGGACTTCAACATAGAAGCTTGGGGTAGAGGGACACAATTCAGCCCAGAACAGAAGTGTGAGTGGATTTATGTTTGAAAAGGCTTCTCTGGCTGCTGGATGGTGGATGACTGCAAGGGAGGAGAGCGAAAGCAAGAGGCCCCGTTGAAGCTGCCTTGATAGGCCAGGCTTGGCTTGTGCCACGCACCGTGACATGGAACACCTGTTCCGGCAGCCTTTCCGCCTCTTGTTAGGACTTCATTGCATGTTCACGCAGAATATTCTAATGCTATGAAAATCTAAACACCGCTCTAGAAGCTATACTTTTCAAAGTAGTCAGATGAGGGAGTAGAAAATTTTACATTGAAGCAGTACCTCTATGTTTGAGTTTAAAAAAGAAACCACCCAGCTCCAAAAGTTCCCCCATCCTCTAAAGGCGTAAGGGAATGATTTTTGTAACTTAGTTATGAAAACACCAGATAAGTAAAATGATTTTGCATTATTGATTTTTCTGCTGAAAAGTCACTTGAAATAAAAATAAGTGAACAGATACTAGTTGTCATTTAAAATATGGTTCTCTAATTTGTCAGTGTTTTAGAGAAAGGAAGATGAGAGAAAATGATATCATTTAGCTATCGAAAGCTCATTTTCTTTCTCTATACTTGATTATATAAAAATTTGGAACAGCAAATCTGAACAGATCAGAATTGTCTCCGGTTCAAATAATGATACTCCCCAGCACATATTCATCATAAGGAGATGCTTCTCTAAATCCCTAAAAGGTAGAAGTATTGAAGCACATCCACAAAATAAGCTGTGGCTTAGAATGGAGGAGATGACTGATATCAGAATCACTGGTCACTCAACCGTGTCTCCTTTCCAGGCACTGTGCACGAGAGCAGGTCCCAGATAAAGTTGATGGGCCACCTGCCTTATGATCACTTGGGAAACTTGTCCCACATGCAAATTCTTGAGGCTCATCTCAGCCCAAATCCACATGTCTGCACAAGACTCAAAGTATCAACAACTCTAAGCCATCGGAAAGCTCTCCAGGTGATTGTTCAGCCCAGTAAAGTTTGAGGACCGCTGTCAGAGACAAACGTATACTGTGCTATGTGGGCAAAAAAGGAAAATCAATTCCTCATGTCTGCCCTGAGGATTTATTATTGGCTGGGGAAACTTCATGGAGATGTGAAGTCATAAGGCAACAACCCATCGCATAGAATCTCTTGACTTAAGAGACCACCACTGTCATTTAGCCTAATCCTGTCATTTTGCAAAGGGCAACTAACACAGAGAAGGCTTACGGACCCAGGTCACATGCTTAGGGGGTATGCTGGGTTTTGAATCCAAGTCTCCGGTTCAGCATTTGGTCCACTCTGTGGTGATGTGTTGACTGCTCCCCTTGCATTGCCTCGAATACATTCAGATGGATACACAGCACATGGTCCTTACAGAGAGGAGGGGGCTAGCTTCCTACATAAGATGCTTGGTTTTTGTTTTATTTTTAATTTTTTTTAAACATTTATTTATTTTTGAGAGACTGAGAGAGCTAGAGCATGAGTGGGGGAGGGTCAGAGAGAGAGACAGAAAAACACAGAACGTGAAGCAGACTCCAGGCTCTGAGCTGTCAG